TAATATTGACCTTTCACAGAAAACCCTTTGTACGGGAGTTAGAAAGAACCAAAGCATTAGCCGATTTTTTAAACAGTATTACACCCTGGTGGGAGTCATTACTGAAGAGGAGAGGTGACATTTCCACACACTGCTTCTACACTGAAGAGCTCTGCCTCCCTCTACATGGCTTTGTGAACTCAGGTGGAACTCAGTGTTATTAACTACCTTTGAAGTCATATCTAGGCTTCCCTGTTCCAATATGAAGTATTTACTTGTGTGGTTTTTAAAATTCTTTTCAGGTTTCAGTGTTTACATTAAAATCTTTATTTTGGTGTGAGGTAGGGATCTAACTTTTTTCTTCCTTCCAGATGGTAGGCAGTTGGTGACATGACCTTTGGGTGAATGAGTCGATGTTTTCTCAATGATTATGTATCCTCCCAACTTCAAAGTACTACTTTGAAGCAACTGGTAGTCTCATATGTCATACTGATCAGACTTCAACCACTTTGACTTTGGGTTGTCTATATTCATGACAAGGCAGCATTTTGGCCTTGCAGGGCCACAGAGCTGTTTCAGACACTGTGGCAGTAGATCGTGTAGTTATTTAAGTATTTTGTTTTATTTCATTCATGTTGATTAAAATTAATAAAAAAAAGGAGAAAATCAAAGTGTGGGTACTTGGGATTAAAAAAGAAAAAAGGCCTTATAAATATAGCACAACTGAGCTAAAGAGAGAAATCTCAAAAATGTGGCAAGCCTGGAGGTAGCAGTGGTATGGTGGTTAAGGTACTGGACTACTACATGGCTGACCAGAGTTCAGGTCCCAGACCTGGTGGCTTGGCTGGCCAGAGTTCAGGTCCCAGACCTGGTGGCTTGCTTTCTCACTCTCCCTCTCTCTGTCTCTCTCTGGTCAAAATGGAGAAGAAATAAAATTAAATAAATAATTCTTAAAAAAAAAAAAATGTGCCGAGCCTTTCTCACCAGATGCTTAATTGGACTTAGGCTGGTGAGCTCAAGGTATGAGTGTGAAGAATAAAGCCAAGTTAAAGAACAGAGATACAGTCATGAAAACCAGCTGTCTAAGATGATCTAAGTAGGAGATAGACTCTCCAGGCTGAAATTAGCTGAAAGTGAACCCAAGATAATGAGCCTCCCCGGGCAAAACGGGGCTGAGTCCATGCTGCGCTGTACCGCCCAGGAGCCACCCTCTCCTCTGTGTTCCTGACACTGAACTATAGATGCAGGGTGTCCAAACTGAACCTGTGGTCAAACCCCATCCTTGCACCAAAAAGCAAGACTAAAAATAGTGTAAAAGAGAGAAAAGCCACTCGGTGATACTACAGTCAGTTTCACAAGTCAGTAGCCATCCATCCTCTCTCAACCCCATCCATAAACCGTCACCAGGTCCCACTGGATCTTGTCACCGGTGCCTCTCCATTCCGTTTCCTTCAAGCACCAGCACTGCAGCTGGTCCAGGACTCAGTGGTTCATGTTAGGGACCCCATGTTCACTCTTGCCTTTTATGTAGTCCCTTCTCTGCGCCGTA